TGGTTTCACGTGGCAGGCGTGGCACAAAGTCACATCCACCGTCGTTTTGCGTGGCAGGCGTGGGACAGATGGCAGTGGGTGGCGCGCTTGGTCCGGCTTGGGCGCCTGTGACGCCGCGGCACTTTGTGTGGCAGGCGTGGCACAAAGTTACATCCACCGTCGTTTTGCGTGGCAGGCGTGGGACAGATGGCACTGGGTGGCGCGCTTGGTCCGGCTTGGGCGCCTGTGACGCCGCGGCACTTTGCGTGGCAGGCGTGGCACAACTTGACATCCACCTTGGTTTCACGTGGCAGGCGTGCCACAAAGTTACATCCACCGTCGTTTTGCGTGGCAGGCGTGGCACAACCTGACATCCACCTTGGTTTTACGTGGCAGGCGTGGCACAAAGTCACATCCACCGTCGTTTTGCGTGGCAGGCGTGGGACAGATGGCACTGGGTGGCGCGCTTGGTCCGGCTTGGGCGCCTGTGACGCCGCGGCACTTTGCGTGGCAGGCGTGGCAGAACCTGACATCCACCTTGGTTTCACGTGGCAGGCGTGGCACAAAGTCACATCCACCGTCGTTTTGCGTGGCAGGCGTGGGACAGATGGCACTGGGTGGCGCGCTTGGTCCGGCTTGGGCGCCTGTGACGCCGCGGCACTTTGTGTGGCAGGTGTGGCACAACCTGACATCCACCTTGGTTTCACGTGCCAGGCGTGGCACAAAGTCACATCCACCGTCGTTTTGCGTGGCAGGCGTGGGACAGATGGCACTGGGTGGCGCGCTTGGTCCGGCTTGGGCGCCTGTGACGCCGCGGCACTTTGCGTGGCAGGCGTGGCACAACCTGACATCCACCCTGGTTTCACGTGGCAGGCGTGGCACAAAGTCACATCCACCGTCGTTTTGCGTGGCAGGCGTGGGACAGATGGCACTGGGTGGCGCGCTTGGTCCGGCTTGGGCGCCTGTGACGCCGCGGCACTTTGCGTGGCAGGCGTGGCACAACCTGACATCCTCCTTGGTTTCACGTGGCAGGCGTGGCACAAAGTCACATCCACCGTCGTTTTGCGTGGCAGGCGTGGGACAGATGGCACTGGGTGGCGCGCTTGGACCGGCTTGGGCGCCTGTGACGCCGCGGCACTTTGCGTGGCAGGCGTGGCACAACCTGACATCCACCTTGGTTTCACGTGGCAGGCGTGGCACAAAGTCACATCCACCGTCGTTTTGCGTGGCACCACCTTGGTTTCACGTGGCAGGCGTGGCACAAAGTCACATCCACCGTCGTTTTGCGTGGCAGGCGTGGGACAGATGGCACTGGGTGGCGCGCTTGGTCCGGCTTGGGCGCCTGTGACGCCGCGGCACTTTGCGTGGCAGGCGTGGCACAAAGTGACATCCACCTTCGTTTCACGTGGCAGGCGTGGCACAAAGTCACATCCACCGTCGTTTTGCGTGGCAGGCGTGGGACAGATGGCACTGGGTGGCGCGCTTGGTCCGGCTTGGGCGCCTGTGACGCCGCGGCACTTTGCGTGGCAGGCGTGGCACAACCTGACATCCACCTTGGTTTCACGTGGCAGGCGTGGCACAGAGTCACATCCACCGTCGTTTTGCGTGGCACCACCTTGGTTTCACGTGGCAGGCGTGGCACAAAGTCACATCCACCGTCGTTTTGCGTGGCAGGAGCTGTCACATAATCTGTTACCGACGCGTGTCTCACGGCCCGACAATGAGTCAAGCAATCTATGACGTCGGGAGCCAGAGCTTTGACCCAATGTGGGAAGAAGCGTATGCAGATGCGTGGCGAAGCGACACTTATGTGGAAAAAATCGCGACGCCTGTGTGTTTCTGAACTGTGCGGTTGCTTGACATCTTTGGAAAAACCTGCACAGTTAGTGTCATGGTGTTTGCCTGTGACTGTGACTGTGTCGTGTCTTCCATAGTTGCATTGACAACCAGCTACATTCGTGTTCAACACTTCTGCGGCCAGGTACCTTTCCTCTATGTCATCATCGTCGGATGCATACATACATGCATACATGCATGCATGCATGCATACATACCTATACATACATACATACATACATACATACATACATACATACATACATACATACATACATACATACATACATACATACATACATACATACATACACGATCTTTCACCACCTCCTTTGTCTTTCCTTCCTTCCCTGTCCCCGCTGAAACCATTGAAGCTCATTTTAGGAAGAAGTTGACTTGTGGGGTTATCCGGTCCTTTAATTTGGGTGTCATTATCCCAAAGATGGTTGGATACATTGGATACAAAATATATGACCTATAAACGACTAAGCAACTAAGACCATTCACGCATGTAGAAACCGGCAATAAAATACGCGTTTCTGTCATTTGGGGTGGGGTGGGGTGGGGCAAAAACGTTCATGCTACGCTATGGGTATCTTCTCTTGCACTTGCACACACGCGTCATGCTACGCTATGGGTATCTTCTCTTGTAAGCGTTCCTAGGTTACTCGTTGGTGTACCCTTTCTTTCTTCACTGCCTTCCAGGATTGTTCCTGGAACCTGGCTTGTGCCTGGTCTTCTCTAATTTGGCTCTTAGTCTAAGTCTTTTGATTTCTAAAGCTGCTCTGGAAGTGCGGCTTTCCAAGCGATGGCCAGCTTTGCCGCAACCAGGACATTTGCGAGTCATGAAAGTTTTCCTACAGATCTTGCCAATTGAACATGATCAACTTTATCTATCTCTGAAACATGTCATTACTTGCAACCTAGATGCCTAGATTGTTAGTTTTTCAAATAAGGAATGAAAAAAAAATCTCTCCGTCATGATGAATGTTACAAAAACATGGTAAAAGACAGGGAAAATGATCATGTAAATGGCTGCGACACATATACATGAGACAAGCATGTCCAAGTTCCAAAACACTTGATCCAGAAAACGACGCAGATTGCTAAAATCCCAATCACCATCTGCAGATGGTAATTAACATAGCTATGGAATCTATGGAACCTTGAAATATCAACATTCTCAATAGGTCCATATAGTGTACATATAGGTCCTATCATCGAAGTAAATGCTTCTACATGGGCAATGATTTTAGATTGTCCATTCCCCATAGGATCCATGGTGCTGGTATACTAACATGACTGGGGTATATTGATGGGATCCATGTTACCATATATAGCAGCACCATGGATCCTATGAATTCTAAATGGTTCATCCCAAGTACAACCGGCGCAACAACGTTTGCATCGACCCCATCGACCCTGGGCGCCAGCACTCTTCCACGTTCCGTCCTGGACATGGAGCTACCAAACGATTCGACTCTTCATGGTACTGTATATTGATGTATATTGTATATATATATATACAGTAAGTAGTCAATGGATGTCTGGTTGGTGGTTTTAACATGTTTTAACCATCTTGAAAAATATGAAAGTCAATGCCAAGGATTATCCCATATATTGTGGAAAATAAAAAATGTTTGAAACCACCAACCAGATGTTCATGGGGGTTATACAAACTTATACCAACTTAGATGGGAGGGAGGGGTTACCTTTCCAACATTTTCAGTTGTTGGCCGAATGCTGCAACAGCAGAGAAGACAGGACAGTTGTACGCGTGAAAGTTGTGGAAAACGTCAATTTTTAGAGATATTATGGAGATACGAATGCCTTTCATTTTTTGGGATGTATTAGCGAATCTAGCTACCCTCTGGTAAACTAACATAACTATGGAAAATCACCATTTTCAATGGGTAATTCCACTATAAATGGCCATTCTCAATAGCTATGTTAAATTACCAGAGGGTAGTGTGTAGCCAAGGGTTTCTTTTGTTTCAAGGATACTTATGGGGTGCTACTTAAATTCGTGATCTGATCCACTTGGCCCAGTGCCAATTTGGGGAAGTGGTGTTGAAGTGTTCTTTCTTGGTCAGATTCAGGGCCAAGATTGTCATTCACTTGCTTAAACAACTGAAATCTTTGCACACCTCGAGTTTGCAATGGTTCATGGAAATGTCAAGTCCTTCACCCAAGAAAATTACCTGGATTCTGAATACCCGGTAGTGTATTTCAACATAGAAATACAGTACTACATGTACAGTATATAGATGCTTTAAGATGATTTACCGATTAAAAAAACGATGTTCAATGGCGCATTGTTAAATTACCAAAGGGCGTTGAGGGAGGGGTGGCCACATTGCGCCACGTCCCCGAAAGGATAGCACAGTTTTTGTTTCGATCATGTCATGATATTCACCTGTCACATGATTTCCAGGTGTCCAAGTTTTCTATCTGGGCATCAACCTCAAACCTCAAACCATCCACCGCAACAGGGAAATGTGGGAAAAAAACATGTAATTCCATGCAATGCTGTTTGTTCGGTTCAGAACGGAATTTCAAGCTATGGATGATAAATACATATTATCTAATTCAATCCCCAAGATGTTATTGGATAGTATAACCCGGAACAAAATCATAACCAACATCATCAACCATCACTAATTAAACATATCCGCAGAGTTTCTGTTCGTAAACACACCTATAGTAAGTTTTAGATGGTGAAATTCACAAAAAATCATCAGCAATCAGCTACTTAGATCCCCATGAATGGCTGATAATCTGTTCCAGGTGTTCATCATGATAAATAGTTATATAATCCACATGTGTATATTATATTATATTATATTATATTATATATTATATTATATTATATTATACATGATGTAAAAATTTAGCTAAATCCACATTAAATCAGCTACATCTGTTCCATGGCGAGAGAATCAAATCCCCCAGGTTGGTGCCGTTTGTGCCCCAAGGGCGCCTTCCACGGGTCGTGCTCCTTTGGCTCTTCTGCTTTGACCAAGGACTGTACGGGGCGCTGCCAAGGGCCGCTTTTCGGTTTTTTTTCTGCTCCAAAGATATGAGAAGATCCCATGAAAATCCATGGTTTCCGAATAGCAAAACTCATGGAAAACCCTGGAAAAAAAAAACCTATGGGAAAACCCAGAGATGATCTAGATGTTTGTTTACAAGAATACCTTGGCATAGGAAAAAATAGATAAAATCGATTGCGAATGGATTGCCGACAAGACTGAAAAATCGTGGTATCAATGGGATGTTCACTCAATAGCAAGTACTACACCCATCCTGAAGTAGATAAACACCTGAGTTAGATCAATCCTAAGTCCGGACTGTCATCTCAAATTGAAATTAAGCGAAAAAACACCAATATGAGGACAGATTTCCATGAAGTAATATGACGTTTTTTTTAAAGATTTACTAGCAATATGAAAATTGCGGGCCGCCGTGGGAGGTGGCCAGGGCGCAGCTGTGGAGGGACCCGTTGGCGCGAAGTAGCTGGGCGACAGGACAGCAAATGGAGAGGTTGCTAAGGCCAATCTGGGATCAACAAAGGGCGAGGCGGCAGTGGCTTCCTGAGCAGGAAGAGCCGGCGCCTTTGGATCCAGGGCGCTGCCTGGGGGTAGTGGGCTTGGAGGCTTGCTTCTTCGTAGGAGGTTGCTGCGAAGGCTCGGCATACCACTCCCAACTTGGCCATTGAGCAGGAGCTGCTCGAGGCTGTGCTCGGTTCGAAGCCGAAGCAGAGCGGGGATGCACTGGTGGGGTCCAAGTAGTATCCATAACTTGATGCCACCAGCCCCAGCAACGTGAACATCTTTCGTCTTTGCCTTTGATGGTAATTCTGCACACCGCACATTTCCAGGGCGCAAGCTTGGTCTTCTTCGGGGCAGGGCCACAGTTGCCATCTTGTGCACCTTCAGGCGGCGATGAGCTACTGCAAGGTTGTACAAGGGGCCTGCACTGTGATGCGAGGCCAAACGTCGAATCAAATCGGCTTGAACTTGGGGAGAAAGCTGAGGCTGAAGCAGACCCTGGCGATGTGCCCACAAGGAATGTCTGGCTATAGCCCGCAAGCGCCGTGTACGTCTCCGCCACGTAGAAGAGGGAATGATAGCAAAGTCCCAAAATCCACCAGCCGGAGTAGAATCGCATCAACCAAATGCTGCAACCAAGGGAGAACGCAGACAGGAAAATCACTGCTGCACACCACAAAGGAGCAAAGGTGATGCCCAAAGGGCAGAGCACAATGCACAACGGTGTCCGTCAGCCGATTGAACTGCAGTGAGGGAGCACCGAAGTAGCAAAGCCCGCGGGCAAGAGCCCGCCAAGGATATGGCAAACCAACAGCGAACGGTAAACCGAGGGGTGCTGATGAGCCAAACCTTGATCAACCCATAGAAGAAAACAAAAAAAACCTATGGTTGAACCACAAATCCAGTTCAAAACCATCATGACTTTGAGCCATATCCAAATCTCTCTCGCATCGCGGCCACCTTCTGGCCACTGCGCAAAGCGAGGAAGCCTTGGGTTTGGACGTCTAAACGTATGGTCGCCCCCAAATAGGTAGTCACCGATGAGCTTTTCCACTCTTGGCTCAACTGTTGGTTTCGGCACCTTCAGCAAAACAACAACAACAACAACCACAACAACCACAACAACAACAACAACAACCACAACAACCACAACAAGCACAAGCACAAGCACAACCACAAGCCACCCTGGCCACAACCACAGCTGTTAACCTATGGTCTCATCTCCCTGGCCACCTCCCGGGTCCCTCCCGAGTCGCCATCCATGATATTATGGAAATTATACATTGCCCTGCATGGTAATTTATAAGATAATAATCACATTATATAAACACCAAACAGATGGTAGCGGTACAGGTACTTTTTAGTGGTCGCAACATTCGTCGCAATCTGGAAGTATCAAATGGTGACACAGTAATCCATTCCACATGGTTTCAAGGGTCCATAGCCATAGCGTCCCTAGCTGAGCTCATCTCTGCAAGGTCACTAAAGATTGACATTCGAATATCACCACGAGTTGACGGTGTAACAAAATGTTTCAATCTATACAATGTGGTGCCCCCCAGTGATGTGAACGTTGGTTTATAAACATTAACTATAGTTATAAGTACCATAAACCATAGTTATTGGAGTTATGTTCACCAACTTAGCTATCCCCCTTTACCGGAATTTGGAACCTGAACATGAAGTGGGGATTTTAGACCCAATTCTGGTGGATGATCATCCTTTTCCAAACAAACTATTGCTATTTGGGGGACCCCATTTTCAGACATATCCAATCTGGTTGGTGGTATACCTACCCCTCTGAAAAATGATGGAGTTAAAGCCAGTTGGGATGATTCTTCCCCATATATGGAAAAGTAAAACATGTTCCAAACCACCAATCAGTATCCAATTGATTCTCTATATAGATTGTAAACACAAACCTTGACTGTGCCTGTAGACAAGCTCAACCTCCATTTGTTCACACTCAATGTGTAATCATTTTACACTGTGCATGCTCAAATTATCATACTTCCCAAATTGGAAATGTTGGTCCATCTTACTGTTTTTCACCAAATCCCAACCTTTTTTTTGGTGACTGAGGTCCTTATATGTTTCCCCAATTCATGTCCATTCATTGATGTTCAAGTGTCACTGCTTGGTCATTGTAGTTTCACGCGTTCATTTTTTTAATCCCACAATTGATGTTTCTATCATCATTTTGAAAGTTGGATCACCAATTTTGATAGTTCAATCGCATTTTTTGATGGATGCAGCACTGTTGCTGATTCTGAACTGTTGATTGCCAAAACACAAGTGTTTCATCACCATCTTTAATTGGGTCAAATCCCAATGTAGGTGATTCATCCATATTTGTCCCCTCATGTTTGTTGATTAAATCATGCTAAATTCCTTATTGCTTTGGCACATCCCATTGTTCATCGTTAAAATGCCATGGTTGATGGCGAATCCCATCATTATCTATGGATTGATCTTAAAGAATGAAAAATCACTTTGTTGCTCACAACTTCTTCACTTCACGGGTCAATCCGCAGGTCTGAAAATGAAAATACTATTTCTGGTTGGTTACAAATCTCATGTTGTTGCTTAAATCATCTTAAATCCATGACTTTCTTGGATTTACCTATGTAACCCAACCACAAAAAAACATAACATGGATTTGCCTACTGTAACCCCACCAAAAGAACATAAAAACAAATATTCATAACATCTTCCGCATAGATTCCCAAGTCATGGTGTCTTTCCCAGGAAAATCGATGCCGCACCTCCGCTGGAACGCGGCTCAGATCTAAGAGCCACTTCCAGAGGTCCTCCTCTTCCGACATGTCGTCCTTGGAAGTCGAAGATCTCGAAGTTAGAGAATACATAGAGATTCTGAGATATTATACATTAATGATCACTAATGTATTAAACATTAAATCACCTAATGTTAGTAAAGCAATAGTATATAATAGTTTTCATAACCATCCCCAAATCAACAATGGCTACTGTTTTTTTACATTCGAAAAGATGGTGGTTCTTCGCCTCGATGAAACGTGGCAGGGGACTCTTTTCTCTGTTGATGGAGCTACGGCATCATAGTTTTGAGGTATACCCGGCCTGGTAAACACTCTCTGGTTATTTAACATAGCCATGGTATAGATGGCCCATAGAAATAGATGGTTTACCTATTAAAAAAACGAAATAGATGGTTTACCGTTCTTAAAAATGGTGGATCTTCCCATGGCTATGTTAAATAACCATATTGAAAATGGCCATAGAAATAGTGGATTTGCCCAGCTATAAAATGGTGGATCTTTCCATAGTTATGTAAACGTTTACCAGAGGGTAAGATGCTATATAGCGGCTAGACGGCTTGGAGGATACTGTATCATGTGTTTGATTTCAAGACCGTATCAGGACCAAACAAAAACGCTCTGTCAGGTCGGCCATATTTTCTGTCGATCTTCGCTGAAATTTTCTGTCGGTACCTCCAATTTAGATACTAGGATATACTGGTGAGTTACTACAGTCATGGTTTACCCTCTGGTAAACTAACATAACTACGGAAAATCACCATTTTTCATAGGTAAACCATCTATGAAGGGGCTATTTTCCATGGCTATGTTGAATAACCAGATGGTTTAGATTGGAAAGAATCGTGGTTTGACCTGTAAACATCCCGATGATAACATGGCGATAACATGTGAAGGGACCAGGCAGCTGGCAACGGTTGTCTTAACCAATAAACATGGGGATGTCATCGAAAACAATACAATTACCCAAAAAAGATTCACATTTCCAAGGGGCCAAAAAAGGCATCTGTGCAAGAACCAAAGCTGTCGGTAAATCCATCGGGCGTAATTAAGAAAATGGATATGCAATACAAGGGCTTATAGGATTTTTATTATATTATATATATAATATTTTATCTAACATGTAAATCAGGATTTTGAAAACTCATCAAATTGTTGATTATTGTTTAACATAAAGACATAGCCTGCTTATGTCTGCTTGGTTCATTGGGATTTTGATCCTCTGCAGTGACATTTCACATGGGAGTTCAACGCCCTGCGAATCAGTGAGCACAACAAAACAAACGCACACCTGGAAATTCTGACGCCAAAATATGCTAAAATCAACTACAAGGTGGTGACCCCATGAATAGCTATGTTGGTTAACCCGAAAAAAAAAAAACAGGGTTAATGATGGTTAATGGTCATGAACACTATACTTAGATGGGGTTACACACCAACTTACACTGGTTTTTCCGGATCTGAAAACGGCGACCCCAGCAACAAAAGTGGCACCCAGAAGGGGGCCACTGAGCGCAGCTCTTGGGACCCCTGGGGACTCCTCTGGGACTGCTGGGACCTTGACAGTGCTCAAGCAGATCTTGTCACCGTTGGACAGCAAGAATTCCAGGCTCTTGCCATCCTGAAGCATCCGAAAAAGCAGATGATTTTATTGAAAAAACGGCACTGAACTTCAAACTGAACATCCAGATTTGTTCCCATTCACTGTAGATAGCCAACATATCCTCATACAGTATCCTTGCTTACCCCTTAATCCAATGGGATATCCCACACAAAAAAAAATATCAGAAAAATACCACTACAATCCTAAACTTTTGACTTTTGACACGTTGCTTGATTTTCCCGATTCCCATGGCCAATTTTAGATACCAAGCAACCATATTTCAAAAAATGTTGGTTAATATTGGTTATAATAAATATGCGGCAATTGCAAAATATGTATTAGCTTGCCACACCCCACAATTTTGTTGGTTAAACTCGGTACATTAAACGATTCCAGCTGGTGAACCACCAACTTTCTGCCAGCCTAACACAATTTGTTCCTGAGTTTTTGGCAAAAAAAACGCATCATTTTACGCATTTTTTGCATTGTCAAAAAAGATGTGTGTGTGTGCGTGTATGTTTGACATATGTGAAATATGTGTTCCCCTCTCATTGTATTTCTATTAGAAAGAGTCTAACATCCGTTTATCGTTTTTGGTTGTCACCCTTTGGTAAACTAACATAGCTATGGAAAATCACCACTTTTGATGGCTAAAACAACTATTTCAATGGCCATTTTCAATAGCTGTAATCAATTACCAGAGGGTAAATCCCATTCAAATCACCATTTTTGTTGGTTTTTTATCCCCTTAAACCACCATTAAACCACAGGCTTCCCCCATGAGATCCATTGGACCCAGCTGCCTCTTTGATGGCCATGAGCTTGGTCGAACTCAGCAACCCCGTCATCCGGGCCTTTTCGGACCTCGAAACGGCGCCGGCGAAGGCCGTTTCCCGCGGAAGATGGTCATTCCAGCAGGGAATCCAAAAAATCGGTGGTTTCTGAAGTGTTGTTAGTGCTTTGATGCATGAAAGGTAGATCTAAAACGATACATGTATAGATACGCATTAATACATGTTATAATATATGTTATAAAATAATCATCTTATGACAATTGGATTTTGCTATGTCTAACGTAAGTGGACGGTTGAAAGTAAGCCAGCGACCGCAACGCGTTGTCGGTCATCATTTTGATTCCCAAATCCGGGAAACATTTTGCTGGATTCAACCGATGTTTTTGTGTATTTATCTGGGTTTCATATATGGTTTCAGCATAAATTTCCTACGATTCGAAGCTGGTTCTGGTTGGTGGTTTCAAACAGACCCACAAGGCCATAGCGAACAATACTATGGTCATCCAGGAGTCATCCCGACTGGAAACCTCCGCATGATTCAAGCGGTTCAAGCATCTGTTTTCCCTGACTAAGCGACAAAAACTGGTTGGTGGTTTCAACCTACCCCTCGGAAAAATGATGGAGTGAGTTAAAGTCAGTTGGGATGATTTTCCATTCCCAACTGTTTCTGGAAAGTCATTCAAAATTCCATGGTTCCAGTCACCACCAACCAGTTCGCCATTGCATTTCCCAAAAGTCCAAGCCCTGCCACGATATCACGGATGCCAGCGCGCCGAGTGGCCATCGGACCATGGCGCCCAACAAGAGGGCAACCTCCTCGCGACGAAATTCCTGGACCGTCAGTCGAGCCGATGAGCCATCGGGTGATTTCCATTCGGGAGTCATGGGGTGTCAATAGCAACAAAATGATCAACAAATGGTGATTGAATGGGATTGATTGGTGGTTAAGTTGGCTTACTCTTGTGGAAAACTCTGGTTTATGCTAGATACATGACGTTAGAGAACGATAGTTCATGGGCTTTATACGGTGTTTATGTTAGGGGTTTCTAAACCAACTTAAAACTGGGGTTCCCCACCTTTGATACAATTAGTTTACCATGATTTTCCATGATTCTAACCATCAATCATGGGGTTTGAACAAGATTGAACTGCCCACAATTTTGATTGAACTGCCCACAATTTTTATCTGGATGAATGATATTCACCAACCTGACACCAAAAAAAAACGGCAATTTGATGACTCCCCCAATCCAATTCGCCCATCATTTCGAGCGACAGAGGTCGCTATGAGGTCGAAAAAAATCAGGTGGGTTTCCTTGTAATGGGAAAACATGGTATAATTTCGTTAATCTAGGGATATCTCACCTGTTGTGTTTTCTGGTGAGTTGAAGAAACACAATAGCGGTGGAACCATATTTGAAATCAGGGAAATGGGAGACCTACTGTGTCTGTAAAACATGTGAATTGACCATTCAACATGAGGCTTGACCATAAACATCCCGGCGGATTCGAAACCGCGCGAGCGTTTTAAGGGTTTGCTTTATTGGACCATCAGAATCCTCTGCAATTTCAAAACAAATGCTGTTCCGCAATCTTGTGACATCTCAATTTGGGAGAAAAAACGGGGTTTCAAAATCCATTGAATTGTGACGAAACCCTGTAAATACCACGTGTATCAGGCGTGGATTCGATTATTTTTTTCCACACCCATCGCCGGCTCAGCGATCCATCAACCTGGAAGCCGTCTTCGACAGCAAGTTGCCAGTGTGGCACTCATAACGCCATTGCCAGCAACGCAGGTACAGCATGACATCTTTGTTATGCCCTGCTTTTGTCTGCAAATTGCTAGGCACATTTTTTTTGGCCAAATTCCATCAAGAGCGTCTTAGAAATTCGCTGAAGACGTGCAGAACGTAACATCAAGAGCGTGTTAGAAGTTCCTAGCAAAAAGCGCAGAGCGTAACATCCAGAGGGTGTTAGAGGTTGCTATAGGCAAAAGTGCAGAGCGTAACATCAAGAGCGTGTTAGAAGTGGCGTCGAAAAACTGCTGAGCGTAACATCAAGAGCGTGTTAGAAGTTCCTAGGAAAAGTGCAGAGCGTAACATCCAGAGGGTGTTAGGCAAGTGATGTTAGGCAAGAGCGTGTTCCACGCACTCTGCACATGACGTTAATACCTCACCCCACCCCCCCGACCCCACCCCACCCCAACCCTAACACATCCCAAGGAGACAGAAGCATCTTCCCTACCAAGCTACATCCGTGCAAGGCCAATTTTGACCCATGAAGAAAACTGTGTCACAGTCGAAAAATTCTACCCAGCTACGTCCATGCATGGCCAATTTTGACCCCAAAGATCTGTTGCCAGAGACGGCCATCCCCGATCTGAAGGTCAAGGGCAACTCCCAAGGGTCGAAGTCAGCGAAGGCCAAACAGCACTGCTGCGGCATTGTCACGAGCTCCTAAGTACTCGGTGATTTGGCCCAGGCGGTTCCTGAGGTTTGTCAACGCCACTTCTTGTCTATTGACTTGTCGTTGGAGAACTCTACATTCTTGTTGAAGGGTGATGACCTGAGCGTCTCGCTGAAGAAGTTGAGCCTGCAGAGCCTGGATGGCAGTGTGCTGTTCGCTCTGCAGCTCAGCTCTGCCATGTTGACAATGGACAGCTCCACAGAGAATTGATCCCATTCAGTGCATCCGGCAGGAATCCAGTCAAAGATGTTTTGATTGCCCTGCGCCAGTTCGATCGCCTCCTTGAACAACTCCTTGTCCACAAAGGTCACCCATGCTGGGCCAAAACTCACATGAGATGTGATTCAGATGAGTTCACCAAGTCAACTGACATCACTGAAAACATGTTGACAAGAACTCGAATCAAATTCAAAGGTAAAAAGGAACAGTTGACGAACATCACATGTTCTCAATTCAGAATCCGTGATAAGGTGTTATCATTTCGTTACACTCCATGAGAAGCAACATTGAAACGCTTGAAAAATCCCTATTCCCAAAGGATAGGAGACATCCAAGTTAGCTGTGGCCCATGTTGGCCCCACTTCCCCACTTGGCTCCGGCCTCCAACCCATACTTTCCCGCATTCTGCCACACGTACTCCTGGAATCCGAGAAGTCTGGGTGCGATCTGGAACAGTGAAACACATTCAACATCCATTAACATTCATTAATGTCGATGAAAATCCATGAACATCCATAAAAATCCATCAAACATCATCAAAATCCATGAGCACCATTTCATTAGAAAAACAAGAAAAAAAACATGAAACACCAGAATCCCACGTTGCGTATAGAGAGTTTGGATGTAGGATTTAGATCGCCTGTGAAGAGTTTGGCTTTGGATGGGGCCCAATACAAAAACGCCTTGATGAATTGACCATCCAAATAAAACAGGTTGCCCTCTGGTAAATTAACATAGACCCTGGCAGATAGGGGTTGGAAGACTAGTGTCCATTAAAAATTAGCTATTTTCAGGGTCTATGTTTATTTACCATAGGGTATATCAGGTTTATATTTATAAACCAACTGAGAACTGGCTTTATAAACCAACTGAGAACTGGCTTTATAAAACAACTGAGAACTGGGTTTATAAGCCAACTGAGAACTGGGTCTATAAACCAACTGAGAACTGGCTTTATAAACCAACTGAGAACTGGCTTTATAAACCAACTGAGAACTGGGTCTATAAACCAACTGAGAACTGGGTCTATAAACCAACTGAGAACTGGCTTTATAAACCAACTGAGAACTGGCTTTATAAACCAACTGAGAACTGGGTCTATAAACCAACTGAGAACTGGCTTTATAAACCAACTGAGAACTGGCTTTATAAACCCACTGAGAACTGGCTTTATAAACCAACTGAGAACTGGCTTTATAAACCAACTGAGAACTGGCTTTATAAACCAACTGAGAACTGGCTTTATAAACCAACTGAGAACTGGCTTTATAAACCAACTGAGAACTGGGTCTATAAACCAACTGAGAACTGGGTCTATAAACCAACTGAGAACTGGCTTTATAAACCAACTGAGAACTGGCTTTATAAACCAACTGAGAACTGGGTCTATAAACCAACTGAGAACTGGCTTTATAAACCAACTGAGAACTGGCTTTATAAACCCACTGAGAACTGGCTTTATAAACCAACTGAGAACTGGCTTTATAAACCAACTGAGAACTGGCTTTATAAACCAACTGAGAACTGGCTTTATAAACCAACTGAGAACTGGCTTTATAAACCAACTGAGAACTGGCTTTATAAACCAACTGAGAACTGGATTTATAAACCAACTGAGAACTGGCTTTATAAAACAACTGAGAACTGGCTTTATAGACCAACTGAGAACTGGGTCTATAAACCAACTGAGAACTGGCTTTATAAACCAACTGAGAACTGGCTTTATAAACCAACTGAGAATTGGGTCTATAAACCAACTGAGAACTGGCTTTATAAACCAACTGAGAACTGGGTCTATAAACCAACTGAGAACTGGGTCTATAAACCAACTGAGAACTGGCTTTATAAACCAACTGAGAACTGGCTTTAAAAACCAACTGAGAACTGGCTTTATAAACCAACTGAGAACTGGGTTTATAAGCCAACTGAGAACTGGGTCTATAAACCAACTGAGAACTGGCTTTATAAAACAACTGAGAACTGGGTCTATAAACCAACTGAGAACTGGGTCTATAAACCAACTGAGAACTGGTTTTATAAACCAACTGGGAACTGGCTTTATAAACCAACTGAGAACTGGGTTTATAAACCAACTGAGAACTGGGTGTATAAACCAACTGAGAACTTGGCCCCCGCCCTGTAGATGTTTGTTCTGACCCATCATATTTTTATCAAGTCTAGGAATTGTTGAATACCTCTGTTTTGGGCCAATGATGTGTCCAAGCCACAACGATGAGGACATTTGAAAAAGGCGTCGCTGTAAAAAAAAACAAAAAAGACCCGTAACACCCTTTGTTAATCAACGTGGTTTGCTGGAAATCCACCATGTAGTTTGAATTGTTGTCCGTTTAAATATGTTCAATGTCCGTTGGCTGGAGGTTCCCAAAAATAGTCATCCCATTAAAATCCCATAACTATAGATATACCATCCATATAGTCTAGCTATATATCATGATAACCCATATATGGTCTATAATTGTCCACATCCCAATGTTACAAATATACCAGAGGCTATTCAAATTGATACCACATCAATAAGCTGTGGATTTCCCAATCCCGGATTCACAGGCTACAGTATGAGTCAAAACCCTGGCACCCCTTAAGTATTCCAAAATAGCTGGGATTTATGGATAGTTCTTCCCCAAAATATGGTAACAAATAAAATCATCACCATAAAACTACCATTATTAGTATGTTCCAATACTTTTGTAATACTAATCATGGTGATCACCATTACTAAACCCATACCATCAAAAAAATACTAATCGCATCATTATACTATACCATTGTGGTAATTATCTTGCCAATACCATTACAATCAAATTACGTCGCCATTATACTACCGTTCTTTCAAAAACAAAACAGAGGGTCTTCTTGAACCACCATATTCTAAATATGTATATATATATATATATTGAGCAATCTTCACCTATAGTCATTGATATTAAATGGGATAATCACCATACAATCACGATAATATATATATATCATCATACCAGTCATATTCCACTCTTCGCATATATGATCCTATATCATTAGTACACTATCACCTTTATATTATACCATATGATTTAGTACCACCATTGAAGCAACACTATTACAATCACCAAATATAGCAGTCATATTCTTATTATATTCCCATTATATATAGCAAGCATATTCCATTATACAATAACCAGTAACATACCATCACTAAAAACTATTATTGTATCACTAGATCTGCGTATTTTAATCAATTCCGTCATATCTACACCATTACATTATGATTCATCATGGGATCCACTATAACCAGTCATATTCATTCATATTCCATATATAACATGAAATATCACCATCAATTTCAGCAGTGGCAGGGTCCAACAACGCCCGTTGTGGGCGGCCTTGGCTGTTTTGATATCTTCCAAGCCCGTGAGTTGACGCAGGAAGATCCAGAGGTCCTGGACTCTGCAATCGTGGCCCAGTGGTCTTCGCCAATGTTTTTCTGGTGGACCAATACATATGTATATATATATAATATATATATATATTATACAATTGTGTTGCATGTTGAAAGCACACACCATATTGGAGAACGAAAAACGTTACGGTTTAACATATAATTATATTTCAATAAGATCAGGACAAATCAAACATATATGAATACATTTCTATATATTTGTGTTTCAACCTCTGTACGGTTCTTGGAAACAATGCCATTCTATTTACAACAAGTACCAATTATTGGCAAATCATACGCAAATATACGATTTATGAATTACATGCAGTGGACGAAAATAAGAATGATATAAACATATTGTCTTTGTTGAACAACGTTTGCACATGGATGAAAATTATCAAATGTGTTGTATGTGCATTGATTCAAAAAATGTTTTTGATATGAAAGAACATATTATATATAATATTAAAGATGCTTATAGGTATATGCATGTGCTCACAACAAATTACTCTAGTCATACAATGTTTAAAGGTCCATGCTTGTCACCCGTTGATATGTGGTTGCAAACAACGACCTGGGTCCACCATGACCGTCCTCCTCCTCTTTGGCGTCATGAAGGCCCAGATGCAGCCGTTCTGAGTGTGCCACGAGTTTGGAGTTCAAAAAAATCGCTGCAATACTCACTTGACCGATCTTCAGTCCAATTTGCAACGCAGTGATGAACCGCCTACAACTCAAAATTGGAAACGGATCAAATGCAGATGTTTGAAATTTGGGTTTCTCACATTTTCTCACCTAAATCCTCCATGGTTTTTTCCGCGCCAATCCATCCGCCAGTCACCAAAACCATCCCGGCCCCGATGGTTTTTTTCTGCCAGGGCGCCTTTCGTGTCGGGAAAGTACCACTCGTAGGAGCGTTTCTCCAAGGGCGCCTGACCCCACACACCGGGTGTGGGCGCTGCCGGTATTACCCAACCTGGTTATGACTAACATAGGAAAACCATAGGAAAACTATAGGAAAATGATGGTTTAATGGGATTTAATGGGATTCAATGGGATATACCCTCTGGTTATGACTAACATAGCCATGGTTTTTCGATGGCCCATTTATAGAAATAGATGGTTTGCCTAGCTATAAAAATGGTGGATCTTTCCATGGCAAACTGTGAATGTCATAACCAGATGGTACATTCACTGTTCCTACATGTTGCATCATTTTTCTGGAGCCCTCCCTGCCCTCTGGGGATCGCTCGTAACCATTCAGGATGGCGAAGACCAGCCCTAGATCAGTAGGATTTTTAGCATTCCCCAAAGGTCAGAAAGAAGATGTCTCCTGAAAAAAATGTTTTTTGTTGAAACATTTGAGAAAATTTGGGATAGGTAAACTTTCTTGAAGGAATCACTTACCTCTTGCAAATCCCCTTTTTCAACATTTTCTGTGTGCCACTTATGACATCACCACTGACACGTGGAAGACTATCACTTTGTACTTGATTTGAATGTTGATGTTTTGCTGTCCAGTGACACTTGTGTGTAAGTAAAATCCCATCCAAAGATTGAGAAATTTCTCAAAAGTGTTCACACTTGAGGCGCGCAAAAAAGGGGGACTAGATCGGTAGGGTTTTTCACAAAGGGCTCTCCCGGAGATCTGGTTGGACCCATATGTTTTTCAAAAGTACCCGGATTTTTCTCAAAATGTTCCTTTTTTTTCTCGAAAGGTCCAAGTGGCAAAGGAAAGGACGAATACTAAAGTAAAAGGAAGGATGCAAAAATAAATGATTTTTTCTCAAAAAGACCCGGATTTTTCTCAAAAATAGCCGGATTGTTTTCAAAATGTTCCGAACTTGCAAGCAAAACCCCCAAAATTCATGTGCGGGCACTTTTCGCCAGAAAGGTTTTTTGCAACTGGGGGGAACAACCCCAAGCATATCCCAGTTGTCTTTCCAAATATATGCATGGTTCGTTGTCTATGTCTTCTATAAATGTCCCCTACTGGCCCTACTGGTCGAGTTCATCTCGAAGGAGAACAAGTACCCAAAATTTTGATGATTCATCATGTTCCCCATTGAAATAACCTGTTTTGATGTATCCCACCCAGTTTGGCTGGTTCATGTCAAATCCCATTTCCTTGCTAGCCGCACAGCATTGCCACCCCACTTCTATCCCGATTTTCATGGTTAAAACTTTTAAAACATTGAACATCTCAATCATCTTAGATACCTTGAACAAATCAGCTGGTAAATAAATCCCAACAACAAATCCCCATGTTTGTTTGTATTCCATGTTATATATATCACCTAAAGTGGAAGGAATACACCATGCAAAGCCATAGAAATTCGGGGTGTCTCCCCTAAAACATACACCTTACATAGACCTTACATATGGTACCTCCGATAAATTGGTATCTGAAATGGCCAGTGAATTATTCCCATTATCTTTTCAATGATATATATATATATATTCACATCAAAAGATAGTTATTATTCAACGACCATTTTATCATATATTTTCATGCTTCAACCACCATTAAACCACCATTAAGCCACCATTAAACCACCATTAAGCCACCATTAAACCAGCATTGTATTCAAATGTATCATGGTTTTCCATGAACAAAACAGGATCAAACCAGCTCACGGTCAGCCCCGCTGCGGCGGCCTCGGGTTTGTATTTCTGCGTCCATTGGGAGCACACCGGCGACCTCTGCTCGGAGCTGAAATTATTCGTCGGAGCGTGAAAAGTGGAGTACAGAAATTAGACCTGTGTACAGTGTATATGATCACATTCGACATGTGTATATGTAAGTTATAGAAATATATAGTTATATATATATACAGTATATATATATTTATTTATATATATATTTCTATAACTTACATATACATCATATAGGGACCATCACCATCTCGGGGGAGGGGCGACCACCAAACGCTGGGCCATGTAGACATGTGATTTCTATCAGCAATCTATAGTACCTATACAATCCGATACATACATATACAACACAAGTTATATATTTATGTGCTGTGTTGTTACCAGTCAAAAAAAACATGTTTACAACGACAAGTTCAATGCTTCTGAATGGAAAAAATGGCTCAGACACCCCCGACCAGGATCCTCCAGTAAACCCAGTTTTTCACAGAAATCTTGGTAGATCAGTTTCCAAACGCCTTTCCCAAGGGGTGTTTTCCACTTTTTTCTACATGTTTCCCCCAGGGTACCCTCTGGTAATTTGTTACAGTTTGCTATTAAAAAGTTGCGCATCAAAATAGTTGATGTACCTACTAAAGATGGTGATGTTCCAGTTCGCAAACTCTTAGTTTACCAGAGGGTATCAGCTATAAACATAGCTCTACCCCATGGTTTCCATATTTATTTCCATGGGATTTCTCATATACCCTCTGGTAAACTAACATAACTATGGAAAATCACCATTGTTAATGGGAAAACTCACGAACTAAATGGTGATTTCCATGGGATTTCTCCCAAAAAAGCGATGCCCCAGCAATGCCCAGAGCTTGCGCCGCCAAGGCCCAAGAGACGTGACTTTGATGCCATGCGCTCGAGCCTGGTCTCGATGGCACCGGCAGGAGGTGGGATGACTGAGTTATATGATGTTATATGGCATACAGTGGGAGTCAATCCAATAATATATATATATATATTGCTAATATATGGTTAATATACTGTTAATATATTCTGTTATATGGCTATTATATGGGTATTATTTGATTATTATATGGTTAATATACAATTAGTATACTGTTTAATATATGGTTGTTATAATATATTGTTAAAATACTGATAAATATATATTATACTGATATTGATATAATACATGGTTAACCATATAATAATGTATACCCAATAATTAGCTGGTTAATATATTGTTAATATATGGTTAATATATATATATAATATATATTTATGATTATTATATGGTTAATGATGGTTAATTAGCTGGTTGGTGGTAGACCTACCACTCTGAAAAATATGAACGTCAGTTGGGGTTATTATTCCCAACTGAATGGAAACAAATATGTTCCAAACCACCAACCAGTTAGTAATAATATATACAATAATTACTGGGATTGTATACTTACTATATGATATATAATACAACCCAATAATAATAGTAAATAGAACTTAGGAGTTGTTCATGGCTATTAATAGAATAATGATTGTATTAATGGTTATTATTAATAATTAGAACAATAATAATACAGGAATAGAACAGTGAAATAACCCAGTGTATACAATCATTATTGAAATACTCTATTGTTATTTAACTATAATAATGGAACTATATCCCATGGATTATAGTTGGATTGTTCTACTATTATATACTGGGATTGAAAAAAAGTGCCATATAGTGGGATTGATGGGATTATAGTGATGTGTCCTACCTCATGTATTGAGAATCCCACGACAATATTATCCCAGTATAGAATTCCACTATCGAACTAACATAATTTAATCATCAATGGTGGTTTATCCATGTTGCAGTAATACTGCTTATGCAGTCGAACATGGGGGAATCATTTCCATCAATGAAGTGATGATTCATCCAAAACTAGGGATACAGCAAGCAAAGTTTTCTAAGGTGTTTATTTGGGCTATCCAGGAGGCCCATTCCTTGCAATAGATGGTGTTCAATTATACCCTCTGGTAAACATACAAAAAAAACTATGGATGAACATCACCATTTTATAGCTGGGTAAATCAACGATGTCTATGGCCATTTTCAAGTTCGCAAACTGTTGACATCACCAGATGGTAAATCCCATCTAGAAATCACAATTTGTGTTGGTTTTTTTTATCCCATTAAACCACCATTAAACCACCATAAGGGTAAGTTTACTCTACTGCGATTACCAGAGTGTTGGCTTCTTTGGTGAAATCTACTGGTTTACCATCGCTGATTTTTTTTTGAACATCTGTGGATGGAAGAAGTCTGGAAGACCACCATTTCTGGATGACTGAAACATCTGAAACATTCTGAAAATAATGGTTCATATACATGATTAATATATGGTTAATATATATGTGGATTGTGAAACAGTGTCCGGGATCAACGGCTGCTTGTTGGGCGAATGAAACTGAAAACATGCACGTTCAACCCACTTATCAAATCTGATGGCCTGCTCTGGTGGAGATGCACGATGTTCGACCTTCGTCCATGTACCATTGAGAAGAACCCATGTGGATCTTAACACATCTGGCGGTACCATCAAGCCGGGCAGCTTGGGGCGATAAAACACCGGTTGCTTGACGACAAAAATAGGATCCATACCTGGCAAGTACTGTAACTTTTCTTTGCTAGTCAAACCTTTCCGATACACTTCTTTTGGCAGTATAGGGGTTTCCGTGTATGGGAAATTTGGGATATCTTCAGTTTTGGATTGGAAAACTTGACGAGTAGTCATGTCGACATCTGTGCTAGGTTGCAACATGTCTAACACTTCTTTGCTCTGTAGGTCTTGAGGTTCCAACAGGTTGATTAGCATACAAGCTTTCTTCCATGCCATGGGATTCTTGAACCCTTTAGTATGGATATCTGCTGCCATCTTGGCTGTAATCTCATAGATCAAAACAAAATGATCCTTTTGGAAATGTTCATGCATGGAGGCAATGGAAATACCATGAGTGCGCTCCAAATGACGCATGGTGGGGTTGCGTCCTGATCTGACAACACCAATCATACCTTGATTATCGTCATGAAACAGGAGCTGAGGAAAAACTTTGGCTAAGACTTTCCACAGACTTAGTGCGGGGATTCCTAGAGTCCTAAGTGCAGTATCTGCAGCCACAATTTCAGCTTCGGGGGTTGAATGACTAACACACCCTTGTCGCTTACTTCCACCGGCAAGTGGGAACCATGTGTATTTACCTTGGACTTGTAAGTGCGATCCTGAAGTTGATCTTAAGGCTTAAGGATTGAGCACATCCAGCGACGTCCGCATCTGCAAATAGTCCTAACGATAAATCTTCAGTTTTGTCTCCGACCCACCCTATCATTTTAAGGGACAATGTGGAATTAACATAACACATTAGGTGATGAAGACGAGCATCATCATCCTTTGTCAATTTGGTCACATTACGTGCCAATGCGTTGATGGATCTCAAGAGGTCAAACCGCGCTATGCGGGCTGCATACAACAGCTTCATAAGCACACTAGCTGCTTGCGGAGCTAGATTCCCTCGGTTCAGTGACTCACTGTCTTGGCCAGGACGTGAGCTGCCAGTCTCGTAGAGAACAGGCATCTCTGGATCGAAGGAGTGCGCACACCAAGGACACTCAACTTTGCACTTACCATCGCAAGGAGCTCGATATGGACTGCTTTTCGTTTCCTCCGGAAGGCTTGGAGTTGACACCTTTTTCAATTTTGTGTCCTTGCCGATAATGTCAAGATACTTTTCTACCGATAACTTCAACAATCCCTCCATGTTATAAGTTATGGTCTTGACTTTCTTACCATTATGTAACTGGGTTTCACCTTGGGATAAAACACATCCTAAGTAAAGACCCAGGTCGGTTTCGGGTTCAATGCGCAAAACAGTGCGCAGCATTTCCCAACCCTTGGCCAGATTTTCGGATGGCCCAGCAAGCTTAAGATCATCCACATAGATTACCAACAGCAATTTGAGCTCATCATGAAAATACATAGAAGGCCATTCCTCTCCAATGGGTTTAAAACCAATTTCTTGAACCTTTTTATCACAATGTTGTTCCCACATCGTGCCTGAGTCAGGATGTCCGTACAATGCTTTGTCGAGTCTTACCACAGGGCGACGAAACTTCCAGTATTGAATTTCAGGAGGCCATGCATCGGTGGGTAATTCCACCCAACACAAAGGTCCTTTCAACTTGGCCTGGATGTATGCTTGAATCGCGTCTGCAAGCTTGACCGCATGTCCGGGAAGACATCCGTAGAAATCGGCCCATCGTGAGGCTTCAAAAGATGCAGGTGAGTTCCCCAAATCTTGAAAGAACGCTGCTTCCCAATGTTGATTCTTCACTTGGTTGCCCAGTAGAACACCCCTTCCTTTGAACTTTCGACCGGGGTTATCTTCAGATAGTTGGTAATTCTTCTCGACACATATACCATGAACTCTAGCCATGTGAACTTCCTTCTTGTCCTTCTTGGCCTCTGCGACAACATCATCATACTCACGAACCATTGTGAAATCAAATACTTCTTGATCTCGAAGACCCTTCCATTCCTTCAGCATAGCTTCTTTGGCTTTGGGATTGGATTCGATTTCGGCTCTGCCAACAGGACGTGATACCATGGCATTAAAGAGCTTACTTCCCAGGCCTCCAGGTGGTACTTTGGTTCGATGGATTTGGTTGGATGCAGAAGTACACGGCATAGTTGGGAACGCAATGAACTCATCGTCATCATCAGTGGTTACGTTACATTCTTCATGTCTTTGACGTTGACACACTTGCCATTCTTGATCACTGTCGATTCGCCCGGCGATGCCAAGGAGAATCTCGAAATCCCACCTGACAATGTGTTCCAAACTTCACCACTCCACGATGCTTTTGGGCCACGTCCTTTCTCGATCTCCGACCACTCGTCCCATTCAGTGAGATATTCCTCGTCGTCCGGGACGTCGGTAGAAGCATCGGAACATGGGCTAGCATCAACGTTCCTCTTCACTTTCCGACAATCAATGTAACGTTTTCCATGGACATCGTCATCATCGACTATGTCATACAGGTCAAGATATGTACTTGTACATGTGATGGGCAAGGTGACTTTGTTCTTCAATACTTCACCAACACCTGCATCGAATTTCTTCGACTTTGAATGTGAATCATCTTTCCTACTCTCATCATCCTCCTCATCGTCCTTGGACTTTGGTCCGTCCTTGTCTTTCTTTGAATCTTTCTTCTCCTTCTTCAGTGCTTTCTTCTTCTTTTCTTCAACCTTTCTTTTGGCTTTATCATCGGCCTCTTTCTTCTCCAACTTCTTCTTCTCGGCCTTGAGGATGGTGTTCCGATCAGATTGAAAGAGTTTACGCCACTCTTCAGGAGAAAAGGTTCCTTTGGGACGCAATGATGTCTTGAAGAGTCTTCTACCATCTTCTCCAATCTTGCATGGGAAACCCTTGACATTCAACTTGACCTTCTCACCATCATCATTGAGGTATATCTTCCCATCTCCAGCCTTACCTGACTTCCAATGTTCTGGTTGAACATCGATGAGTTCTTGGAGAGTCATCTCTTCTGGATCTTTGTCATCACCGAAGATACCCTCTGAGTCTTCAAGAGGCTTCTTTGAGACTTTTCCACCACTAGGACCAGGTCCACCTTCATCTCCATCATCAAGCTCATCATCGTCTTCATCATGATCATGTTCTTCATCGTCTCCATGATGTACTTTGGAAGGATCACCATCGAGGATCTCCTTCTCCTTCATTCCTTCCAAGGTGGTGTTTACCCTTTCGTACTCTTCTTGAATGGAAATGTCAGTGGAGTGACCATCTCGACCTTTTCAGTCAAATGAGGTTTGAGAAGACGATGTTCTGGCTTGCTAGCGTCGTCACCAAGGTTTTGAT